AATACTTGGACCCCAGTGAGCTCAGTGCTCTGAGCCTGCTTGCTGTCTGAGATAGGCCAGCAAGTCAGTGAGACTAAACTGCCTTCAGATAGAAACAATTTTCCAAGTTACCTTTCAGAGATGCTTGAGGAGAAAACGATGCACCAATGGAGACAGATGCAGAGAAAAATATACATTTCAGGAGCCCCAAACCAACAGTGGGTGTGCACTGGTAGCCCCCAAAGCCCCAGGATCTGCACTCTAACACCCTTTTGAAAATAATATGAATCGTCCAGCTAGTTCCATGAATGTAACAGTGGCTTCAGCTGAGTGACAGCTGTGCTGAATTTAAAGCAGGTTTCCTCCAAGTGTGGAATTTCTCAAGGGCAAGGTAGTTGGACAGGAAAGGATCTTATTTTTTACCTCCCATGGCCTTGCTCCAACAATTATATTTCTGTTTCAAACTCAGCCATTTTTAAAACCTCAACATCATGCACTTTTATTAAAAAAAAATACTTATGTTATTAAAATAATTATTTTACTTATTTTATTACAATAAGTAGGCTCATATTCATCAGCTCAATGGAACCTAGAGCTTCTCAAAAATCCAACGCCCAGGACAGGCACAGTGGTTCACCCCTGTAATCCCACATTTTGGGAGGCTGAGGTGGATGAATCATGAGGTCAGGAATTTGAGACCAGCCTGACCAACATGGTGAAATCCTGTCTCTACTAAAAATACAAAAATTAGCTGGGCGTGCCTATAATCCCAGCTACTCAGGAGGCTGAGGCAGGAGAATTGCTTGAACCCAGGATGCTGAGGTTGCAGTGAGCCAAGATTGTGACACTGCATTCCAGCCTGGGTGACAGAGCGAGACTGTCTAAAAAAAAAAAAAAAAAAAAAAAAATCAAAAGTCTGGAAATTACATAGCTTGCTTGCTGCTTGGATACACATAACTGTCCAAGTCAGATTCATTAGCTTCATCACAAGAGCTTTACTTATTTCTCTTATCTGCATCCAAAAGTCTGAGTGAGCAGCATCAATCTATTCCAAGTGTGGAGCACACTGGGTGTGTTTTTTGGTCAGGGGTGGGGCAACAAATGAGACAGGCTGTCAGTGTGATTCAAAATTGGGTGTTGTGGACCCTCTGAAGCTGTGTGTTTTCAAATCTGTTTCAATTTTTTTCTTAGATAACAAAATGCAGAGCTTTCAGGCTGATCATTTTGGAGTCTATTTGGATCCTTTGTGGAACTGGGAAGTAAATCGTCAGCTTATACACAAGGTGGCACCCTGTGATTCCAACCAGGTCTGAGAGGAGCGATGCTGCTAAGAGTCTGAGCCACAGCCACAAATTTTTATTTACCATCTGCTACCCCCGCTGTGGCAAATGTAGAAGTAGAAGTAGATGTTTGGCAGGTCACCTCTCAGTGTAGTCTCTGTCCTTACATCTCAAAGATGCAGAGCTGCCTCAGAAAAGGGCACTGGAACCACGGAACTGATTCCAGTTGATTGTAATGAATGCAGACCCCACATTCAGATTACATATGGAAAACAACGAAGCTTTATTAGTACTAGGCTCATTCCTGGGAACATAAGGGGGAGGGGTGGCGATGCAGTTCACATACCAACCCAATTAACTTTCAATTGGGTTTGCTGAAACCAGGAGCCAATTAGAAAGAACGTGACATTTACAAAACTCTGAAATAGTTGAATAGCAACTGTGTTTACTAGTTTTAAGATTCCTTTCAAAAAGTAATTTGTCCATTATTTGGAAGCTGCCTGCCTTGATTATAGTACTGGGAAATGGAAACTGGAATGTAATTCCACTTCTAACAGTTACTTGACATTTATTCCAATTTAGACTACATATAGATAGTGATTTTATTTTGATATGGCTTAAAACTGCTTTTAATTCTTCGGTGCTTTTATATTATGCTCGCTGGGCTAAATGCATGTCATTTGGAATTGGTGCAGAGCATATTTAAGTGGACTGATTTTCGAATGACTGTACTCAGCGCATTGTATGTGAAAATTAAAATTGGTGATTAGGCTGCACATCCATTTGAAGCAGGTCTTGATAAAAGTATTTCATAATTTTTTATTTTATAAGAAGATATTTTGTTTTTAGCATTAACAATTATATGAGTATTCAACAAATCAATCAGAAATAAACTTTATGAAAGGTAATACTTACATACAAATAAAAGTTACCTTCCAAATGTGAACAGAGGCATTCTGGTTTGAGCACTAAATTGGAAGCCAAGAAAACACAGGCTGTATCTCAGTTGAAAAGTATATTGTGTTATTTGCCTCAAACAGTTTTATTCCCAGCTCTATAATCACTGCCTACAGGGTGAAGGAAATGGAGATTTGGGGAAGAAATCTTTTACATGGTCAAAGTAAAAGAACAACAAAGAAACAACTACTAGAGCAAAAATCCCTTCCTATAGTTAAATTCCAGGTTTCAAAAGGTGTTTTTTAATTGCTCTAATTGGTTCTAAAATCTCTATATTCAAAGGCAGGAAGCTGGAAACCGGGTAGACCGCAGTAACAGCAAATATTGGCAGCAATAGCTAGGTCAGGTGACAGGCCAGTAAGGTATGTAAACTATAAGCTAGAGTGGCATGGGGTCAGTATCAGCGAATTTCTTCATGGAACATCAGTCAACAAATATACCTTAGATGCCTGCCATACGTCAGGAAAGGAACTGGGGATACAAGGATTGACAGATGGATATTGTGCCTGCCCTCCTTGAGTCTACTGCAGCTTTCGGCTCTGGGTGATGCACTCTCTTGGCCGTTGGTTGGAAGGTCTTAGTCATCAACTTTGGATTAGCAGCTTTAAAATGCTGACTGGTCAATAAGCTGAAAAAGCTTGGATAGCAGGGTAGCATCACTGAGTTTTGGAGTCAGGTCAGACCTTAATTTGAGCTCAGTTCTGTGAGTTGTTAGGATTGAAATTTGGCAAATTATGTGACACTCAGTTTTCTTATTGGTAAAATTATATTTTTTCATAGAGTTATAATAAGAAGTGGAATTCAGTTAGTTGAGATAGTATCTATAACATGCTGCTACAATGGCTGGCTTATTATACATACTCAACATTTCGTTTTCTGAGAGAGAGTAACAGTCAAACTAAACAGAGACTACAAGAAAGCTATCCTTCCTGAACCTGAGGAGGGCTGGGCACCCAGATGAAAGCTCTGGATGACTCATTTCTTCAACTATTTCTTTTTTCTTCCCTTTCAGGCTTGAACCCGGTGCTGACCCCCTCCCAAGAACTTCTTGTTTTCCTCGCAGAGAACTGGAACTGTTCCAGAGGTAGCACTTAGAGCAGGACATGCCCATAAGCTTAAGGAAGGTACTGCTTACAAGAAATGAGTCACAGCATCGCCATTGTTTCCAACAACAAAGTATATGAAAAACACTCAAGCTCCACTAAACAATACTCCAAGTTTTGCTGGGACAGAATGGTTAGACTATTTGGACACTACCATAAAGACTGTGTCCACCATTCTGCCTTCGAAAGGAGGAGACTGTAGAGAGAAAAGGGGAAGAGGAAGAGGAGGAAAAAAGAGGAGAGGAGGAAGTGGAGGAGGGAAAAAGGACTTAATAGAGGAAGAGGTACAGTTTTGATGTCACAGAAATGACAGGAGGAATCAATTTTTTTCACTGTTGGTCTTTAGGAAACCATCTGCCTTTCTCTGCGTTAGGCAGAGAATTGATCGATTATTAGAAAATGGTAAAATGTGTTAAAAACTCTATCTGTACGGATTTTGTGAAAAATGTGTAATGCTTAAAGACTAACCAAGAGACTCTTGGCTAAACCAGGTGATGTCAACAAGAGTTAGTACTTATTTGAGTCACCTTGATTTTCCCTCCTCCTGAGAACTTTCTCTAATCCGTTTAGGCTGCAGTCATGCCTCCTTTTTCTGAACTCGCAATTATTGCCTACATCTCGTTTGGTAATTAATCATGTCCTACTCACTGCCTGTGTCATCTCTTGTATTATTTTCTTCAAATATTTACACTTTTTTTTTTCGGTTGCCATTTATCTTTCCAGCTGCCATTTTCTTCAGCTATTTACGTCTCTTACTGTTATTCATCTTTCCAACCATCCTGGCATCCCATTAATGTGAAAGCTGTCTGAGACAGGAACCTTTTCTCAGACGTCTACAGCACCCCACATTTGACACACATCTGCTACTTTGCAAATGTGTGCTGCCTTTGGTTAAATTTTTAGAAGCTGAACTTTTAGGTACGCTCCTATTTTTGAACTCAGAGAAATAACTATCATCCAGTAAACAGCTGTACCGAAGTTTGGGTGACAGGTTCAAGTTCACTTGTTGCATCTGGCAGCCTCAGACAATGAACCCCACTGCTGCCCTGAGCATCCACCCCGCGAACGCAAGGACGAGCGCGCTACCGCACCTTGGAGAGCTCTTTCGGACAGGTACTGAGGGGAGGGCGGGGGAGAGGGCTGGCATCAGCCCCGCGGCGCCCCTCCGAGCGGACTGACGGGAGGGACCGGGGAAGTGCGTCTCGGAGGATGCGAATAATTAGCTTGCGCTCGGGGCCCCTTGGGGATAAGCGCTGTCCGAGTACAGGCTTGGGTGGTGGCTAGTGGGGTCCGGGTCGACACCTTCCCTTTCCGCTCCCGGACTTCAGCACACGCGCGCTGCCCGACGCGGCTGTCTTTGCCCGGCGCCCTCCTCCGGGACAGCCAGCGAGAGGGGAGACCGGGCGGCGCAGGCAGAGGCGCACGCTACGGGGCGCGGGCGAACTTGCGCACCTGGCACCTGCCACACAGCGAGAGCACCGGCCGGCGAGCGGAGGGGCGCCGCCGCCGCCCTCTCTCCCCGGAGCAGACCGAGACCGAGCACGCTCCCGCGGGCCGGCAGCGCCGCGGAGAGAGTGGGTGGGCAGGCGAGGGAGGGGAAGGGAGAGGAAGGAGGGAGGGAGGGAGAGGGCGAAGCGCGTTCCTGCGGCGGGGGCGCGCTCTCGCGCGGGCTGCCGGGATCGCTCGCCGCCGCTGTGGTAATGTCCGCCATGTTGGCCATGGCGCAGGGAGCGGATCGGGCGGGCGAGCGGCGGATCTAGTGTGTGGAAGCGGCCGCGGGCGGCGGGGGGCTGTTTTCGGGCGGGGTGGGCGCCCATGCTGTGGCCGGGGGCAGTGAGGAGGAGGAGGAGCGGGCCGGCCGCGCTGCACTGAGGAAGGAGGTGGAGGAGGCGGCGGGAGTCCTCCCCCCCTCCCCGCCCGCCCCGCCGCCGCCGCCCGGGCTGTTCCTGTAAGGCGGGGAGACAATGAGTAAACTCTCCTTCCGAGCGCGGGCGCTGGACGCCGCCAAACCGCTGCCTATCTACCGCGGCAAGGACATGCCTGATCTCAACGACTGCGTCTCCATCAACCGGGCCGTGCCCCAGATGCCCACCGGGATGGAGAAGGAGGAGGAATCGGTAGGGACTCGAGTGTTTATTACCCCCCCTTCCCTCCTCCCCCCTCCCCTTTGTCAGTCGGGCCTCGCCATTCACAGAGCGCTTTACGCTCGCTGGAGGGCGCCGCTGCCGCTCCAACGCATGGGACTCTACGCCGGCGGAGTAGCGTAAACCCTCTCGGCCAGCGTAGCGCCCGCCCGCGGCCGCCATGTTGTTGCGTCCCAGTGTTGTGATTAGCTCGCAGCGCTGCTTACGCTGCCGTAAGGGGGCCTTGCCGTAAGCGGCGGCCGGGAATGGCGCAGGGGGATGCGCTGGCCGCACTTGGCGTACGGTCTCTGTTTACCTTCCCACCTTCCTTCCCCGCGGCGCGGGGTTAATTAATGGCGGGGTATTATTTGGCTGGGCGAGATTATTATTTTTTCCACTTTTAAATTTGGCTTTATATTGGATTCTCTTTGAAATGATTGTGGAAAGTAAGGCGCTTTCAAAACAAACCTCTGCCTCCCAGCAATGTAATCATCCTGGCTACCCCGCCAGCGACGGTGCAGCGGGATGAGCCGGTGTAGCACTGCGGCGGGGGAGGGCGGGGGCCAGGACTACGGAGCGGGGCGTAGTATCCGAGAGCCGCCCGCCGGCCCGTTCAGCCCAGCCGGGCGCGGGGCGGACGGGCTCTGCCTGCTCCGCCGGGACCGCCGTGCTCAGTGCGCAGCGTTAGAAAGGAGCGGAGGATGCTCCGGAGCTGGCCGCCGGCGCAACGTTGTCTTCGAGAATTGTCATTACGGGGTGGTCCTTAGAAGTTGAGGACCCAGTGCGTCTAAATTGGCAGTTGTAATTTTGATAATACGGCACCTTTTGAGAAAACTGCTGCTTTTCCTCCGATGGGTTAGATTTTACATACGGTCGAATTTCATCTGTATTGACAAGAGTGTTTATGACTCGAGCGGTGTTACTTGTGTGCGAAGTTCATAGTAACTGCACCCTCAAGAATTTCTTCAATGAACCTACAGTCCCGCCTTATTGTCAACCTCGAGTGTGTGTGGATTGGTTCTCTAGCTTCTGTGACTGTCAAAAGGAAGCTCTAGGTTTCCGTGATTGGTTTTCTCTTTTGACTATTAATATTGCAGGAAATGCTTTTATGCCTTTGATTGGCTGGTAGTGTTCTGACCTCATTATGTTACCCTGTTATTACTACTTTATGCTCTTATTTAACACATTTCTCTTTGGTGTGTGATTACTTGAAAGTCTTACATTTTCTGTAGCAAATGAATATGGCTGTAGCATCAGGATGAACTTAGCTGTATGTATACACATACATATATAACATATATATATGCATACATATGTGTGTGTGTGTGTATTTATATATTATATATAATATATAATCAAAACCCAGCATTTATTCCTAAGGTTTGGAGCTGTGAGAATTTTTTTCTATGTGAGAACTCCTTTTATAACTAAATTTTGTTTCTAACGTGACTGAGTTTTCCATGGAAAGGAAAATTAAGGTAAAATTATATTATGTACAAGAATTAATTCATCGAACTCTAAGAAGCACAACTTTGGAAATTTTTGCTATTTTGTGGGTCTTGACCCAAAAGAAAGATGGCCTTAAAAGTACCAGTATTGTGTGTAATTACTTGGATCCTATTATTTTAGAACTTGAGTCAAGAAATCTTCCAGAATGAAGTTAACTCCTGGAAGATATATTACTTTTTGCAATCAGCAACATACATGGTCCTTAGTATTTTATCTTAATTTAATAAGATAACTTACAGAGTAATTTTTTCATGCTTTATTAAAATTAAAGTGCTTAACTCGTGTTGCAATTTTTTTGTTTGTTTTTTGAGATGGAGTTTCGCTCTTGTGGTCCAGGCTGGACTGTAATGGCGTGATATTGGCTCACTGCAACCTCCGCCTCCTGGATTCTAGCAATTCTCCTGTCCTGCCTCAGCCTCCCGAGTAGCTGGGATTGCAGGCTCCCACCACCTTGCCCATCTGATTTTTGCATTTTTAGTAGAGTCAGGGTTTCATCATATTGGCCAGGCTGGTCTCAAACTCCTGACCTCAGGTGATCCACCTGCCTTGGCCTCCAAAGTGCTGGGATTGCAGGTGTGAGCCACTGCGTGTGGCCACGCTTTGCAATTTTATACTGACTCTTTTAGAAAAAATTATTTTCAAACCAGAGCATGAGTGCTAAACTTGGATACTTTTCAGTAGCCTACCTCAATTGCCCAATTTTAAGGAAAAAAATCCAAATTTTGCCAGAACTAGAGTTGAAACCCAGAACTTCTGATTCTTTGTCTTGTCCTTTCTGCCTCTTTAATAAATCCTAAAAGTGGAGATTCTTAAAATCAAAACTAAACAAATCTTAACAGTTAAGATTTATATTCTGAAGTCTTTTGCTTCCCAGAGTGTCCAATTGGGGTGTTAGTTTTTCTCTCTCTTTTCTTTTTTTTTCATTCTTTCTTTCATATATATGTCAGAAGACTTGTGCTTTCATGAGTGACAGCAGATTCATTTCTCTGGTCTTATTTACAGGACTTCTGTTATTAAACAGAATTATGTATTTATAAAAATGGTTCTGCTTTGATAAATATTTCTAAGCAGTAAAATGTCATACATTTCACAAATGTTTTGTTTCACTTGAATCGTATTTTTAAGTAACTTAAAATATCTAGATGTCCTTAACTCCTTGTCTTTGTAAGATTTTTTCTTTTAAGTCAGTAGGCTTGTAACCAACACACCTTGGCTTATGGATTCATAATTGTTGCTGGGGGTCTGTGAACTGTGCTGTCCTGCTTAATTGGCTAAATCTTTTGACTTCATTTTGAAGTCTTCAAGGATGGCTTTTTCCCACTCCCCCTCTACTCCCACCCACCCTTAAAATTAAGGCCTATCTCCTCTGTGTAGCTATTGGACTATCATTAGACTTTGTTTATATAAACAAAGTCATTGACTCAATTTTGAGTTACATTCTGACAATGCGTGGATGAGGTGATTCAGGTGTTCCTGGGCATTGGCAACATTCTATCATTGATACCCATGTCATACTGTTAGCTTTTTCTTTTCTTTTGGACATGCAAGCATCTTTTACTTCTTTTCTTCCCTATCTTTATTATCATTGTCCTTTGCTAAGAGCTGCCAGTTGGGGTCCTCCTTTAACTTTGTCTTTTGGTCTAGGTCAAGTACTGTATGCTTACATTTATTTAGAATTTAGACAAGAAAAATCAGGCAGTCAGCAGTTCTGCCACCTCCCCATGAGTGTTGTATAGTGGTAGTTGATGTTTTTACTAATACCTACTATTTATTGAATACTTCATATATCCCAGATACTGCGTTAAGGGCTTTACATATATTATTTCATTTAATCCATTTTAAAAAACTTTTTTGAGGTATAATTTACATCAATAAATGTACCTACTTACACTGTAGAGTTTGATGGATTTTGACAAATGTATACATGCATGAAAACAATATATAGAACAGTTCCAACATTGGAAAAATTCCGTTGTGTTCCTTTGCAACCAATCCCTCTCCACAACTAGTTCCAACCAACTGTTGCTTTGTTTTGTTTTTTACTATGGATTTGTTTGCCTTTTCTGGAATTTCATATAAATGGAATTATACCTACTTTTTTGTATCTGGCTTTCTTTGTTCAGCACTATGCATTTAAGATTCATCCTTCTTGTATCAGTCTGTTTCTTTGTATTGCTGAGTAGTATTCCAGTGAATTTGTTATGCTGTCTTTATGCATTTCTCTGATTTTTGAGTTGTTTCCAGTTTTTGGTTATCATTTAATTCTGGTAACAGCCCTTTGTGGTATTACCATTTCAGTTTTGTAGAGAAAAAACTTGAAAGGTCTTCCTGCCTGTGCTGGCTGGAATTCAGACCCTTGACGTTGGTGTCACAGAAGCATATACTCATAGTAACCCTCCTGCCTCTTCAGGGTTCTTACAGAACCCAGAGTTATCATCTGAACTGTGATTAAGTTCAGTATAGTTTTTGTAAATAATATTTTACTTTTTATAATTTTGGAAAACTTGATGTCAATTTGCTTAAATTGTTATAAATTATTAAGAAGTGTAGTTTTTTATCACTTAATTTGGTCTGACATTTTCTCTTGGCTTTTCAGATTCTCTTTCTTTATTCTCAGCAATTTGTTAACTTTGCTTTCCCCTGTATTGGCACCATTACATTTATCCCAGTGTTTATGTTGTCTTAAGCATATAAGAAATTTGTGGGAAACTGTCCCATTTTATTGTTTAGATTTTTCTTCTGCTAGAATGTAATGTCCCTAAGGGCAAAAATCTTTGCTTGTTTTGTTCATTAATATATTCCAAGTGCCTGGAACTGTGGCTGGCATATAATACATGCTTGAAAATGTTTGTTGAGTGTTGAATGGCCTTCTAGTTGTTTTTCGATTCCAAAAGCTATGTTTTTGTCTTTTCTTCCCCCTCTACCCGCAATATCTATCTGTATATAAAATTTATTAGCAGAATTTGGTAAATTCTTCTTCCAGGAATTCTTTTTGATTGCTTACTTTGGTACCATGTATACCTAAATATTATATCCTCTTTTCCTCTTGAGTCAGAGGCCTCTTTAAATATAGAATCTTTTCACACGTGAATATAGTTGCAATGCAAATCTTTATCTTGTTTTAAGTAACTCTCATAGGCGTATGTAGATTTGTGAGATACATTTTCATACCAGAATGTACCAGTCTACATGAATCATGTGATTTACCTTATTTTTAAAGAAGATCATGACTAATTTGAATTGCCATATCTCCTCTCATATGTTGTCTAATTTTTGCCATGATGTTAATATTTTAAGTGATATTTTGAATGATAGGGTGGGAATTTAATCAGTCTTGATATCTTTTCAAAATTACTATTGGCACTAATATATTTCATGTTTTATAAAGGAGTGGGTATAAAATACAGTTTTGTAAATTTATACTGCAAAAACCTGGTGTTTCTTCTTTTAACAAAAGCAAAGGACATCCCAGGCATTATCTAAAT